TTTGACCAACAAACCCACTTGGTTCTGGTTCGGGTTAGAGTCGGGCCGTTATGCTACAAACCTCTTTTGACTGGACCTGCCGGCACCAGTAGGAGATCATGGAACTTGTTCTGATCATAAACCCACATTTCAAGCCGCTGACACACTGACCCTGGTTATCTGGAGGTGAACCGTGACGTCCTGCTGAGCTGCTGGAAGGTGGAGGAGCTCCACGCTGGTCCATGTGTGTGCTGGACAACGTGCTGATACTGGACCTTTAATGGGCTCAAGCCAGCATGAGGCTGGAATCGGAGCATCAGAAACACTGTGGTGAATAGAACCGGGCTCTGGTGGACGTTTTTAAGAAGGTGGCAGCGCTGAGACCCTAAAACATGAAGGAAACCTGAGTGTGGAGCAGCTTCAGCTCTCAGCTCTCAGCTCCTGGACTTCCTCTGAGCAGTACATCATGTTTGGACCTGCAGCAGCAGCCCTTTGGCAGGCGGACACGTCGAGGCGGCCGCTGAAGGACTTTTATTCTCTTTATTCTCACATCACAGCAGAGTGGAGCTGTGAGAGTCACGAAGGCAGCGGCGGCGTTCTGATTCACCACCGAGCCTCCTCATTGGCTCATTGATGTCAGACGCCTCAAAGAGAAGCGCTTGGTCCTCGCAACCTTTCATCTATTTTTACTCTTTGTGGCGCTGGTCCGGTTCCTGAGCATCGCTTCCACTACATCTGCTGCTGCTGCCGCCTTACGTAACACACTCCACTGATACACAGATAGAACCGCAGATAGAACCACAGAGAGAACCACTGATAGAACCACAGATACACAGATAGAACCACTGATAGATCCACTGATAGAACTGTGAAACTCTGGCAGCAGGGTGCCCCAAAGTATATGTTAGAAAACATCAGCAAGTATCCGTATCTCAGTGGTGTTTTAGCTGATGGTGTTTTAGTTGATGGTGTTTTAGTTGATGGTGTTTAGTTGATGGTGTTTAGTTGATGTGAATGTATTCAAACATGCTAACTTTACGCTCACATTGTAAAGACCAAATGATTGTTGGTAAAAACATTATTTACAGTTTTGTTTTTTTGTTTTATTTTACAGTCGTCGTGTTAATTAATACTGATTTACTAGATATTATCTGTAACTTAACAAAACTGGGAAAATCTGTAAAATCACAGGAAATAGTCAAAGAATTGTAATTACATATAATTAAATGTTTTCACGGTGCAGCCTGAGATGACTGATGTTCTAAACAGAAATAAAACTATTCATGTGAAACGCCGTCACATAGAGTTCATGTGTGTTGTGAAAGACGACCACTGTCATGTTTAGATATGACGCTAATATTAGCTTAGCATAACAACAGCTCGCCCAATAATAATAAAACAGCTTTGTTTTGTTTTTTAAATCTAAGACTTTATATGATAATATTAAAAAATGCTTCATTAAAAGATT